AGGTTGGTTTCAGACTAATTAAAAATCATCCCATATATTGATATATTTTGTTTCCATGTTATTGTATTATTTGTAAGATTTGTGTATTATTTTGTAGGATGAGAGTGAAGATTATGTGGCTCACATGTGGCGTCGTGTTGCTTTAAGTTCTAAAGTTACAGCTGAACAGCTCTCATCTTATCAGAATGCAATAGAAGCACTAACGGTAAGTTTTACTCTTAAATATGTCATGTAGACCCATAGCTTGAGGAGGACTTATTGTAATAAACAATAACTGTCTACCCAGGTTTGTCTAACAATTATTGCTAGCTGTTATTACCTACTTTATAATATATATTTCAGTGTGTAGAATCTAACTGGTTAAAGATAGATTACCTACTAGAGTTCTCTCAGTGGTTGTATGTTAATATGATGTTTGTAGTACAATGTATAATATATATTTCAGAGTGTAGAATCTATCTGGTTAAAGATAGATTACCTTCTAGAGTTCTCTCAGTGGTTGTATGTTAATATGATGTTTGTAGTACAATGTATAATATATATTTCAGTGTGTAGAATCTAACTGGTTAAAGATAGATTACCTACTAGAGTTCTCTCAGTGGTTGTATGTTAATATGATGTTTGTAGTACAATGTATAATATATATTTCAGAGTGTAGAATCTAACTGGTTAAAGATAGATTACCTACTAGAGTTCTCTCAGTGGTTGTATGTTAATATGATGTTTGTAGTACAATGTATAATATATATTTCAGAGTGTAGAATCTATCTGGTTAAAGATAGATTACCTTCTAGAGTTCTCTCAGTGGTTGTATGTTAATATGATGTTTGTAGTACAATGTATAATATATATTTCAGTGTGTAGAATCTAACTGGTTAAAGATAGATTACCTACTAGAGTTCTCTCAGTGGTTGTATGTTAATATGATGTTTGTAGTACAATGTATAATATATATTTCAGAGTGTAGAATCTAACTGGTTAAAGATAGATTACCTACTAGAGTTCTCTCAGTGGTTGTATGTTAATATGATGTTTGTAGTACAATGTATAATATATATTTCAGAGTGTAGAATCTAACTGGTTAAAGATAGATTACCTACTAGAGTTCTCTCAGTGGTTGTATGTTAATATGATGTTTGTAGTACAATGTATAATATATATTTCAGAGTGTAGAATCTATCTGGTTAAAGATAGATTACCTTCTAGAGTTCTCTCAGTGGTTGTATGTTAATATGATGTTTGTAGTACAATGTATAATATATATTTCAGAGTGTAGAATCTAACTGGTTAAAGATAGATTACCTACTAGAGTTCTCTCAGTGGTTGTATGTTAATATGATGTTTGTAGTACAATGTATAATATATATTT